TACAGGGTAGTGTTCAGCTGTGGTGTGAACAATTTAAATTGACAAATTTAATAATTGCGTTTTTTAGGTTGGAATCAACTACCAGCCTCCTACAGTTGTTCCTGGCGGTGACCTGGCCAAGGTTCAGCGTGCTGTGTGTATGTTGAGTAACACCACAGCTATTGCTGAGGCCTGGGCCCGTTTGGATCACAAGTTTGATCTGATGTACGCCAAGCGTGCTTTTGTTCACTGGTATGTGGGTGAGGGTATGGAGGAAGGAGAGTTCTCTGAGGCTCGTGAAGATTTGGCAGCGTTGGAGAAGGATTACGAGGAAGTTGGCGTGGATTCTGCTGCAGCGGAAGGCGACGAGGAGGAAGAAGGAGAGGAATATTAGAAACTGTCATAAGTGAAGTTCAGTTGTTTGTCGAGTCTATAATTCCAGATATGATCGTGAAACATGGACTAAATAAAGGATCTGAAACGGATACTGTGTATTCCATCGTTTTGTTAACTTTGGGCTCCGGGGATCAGAAATAATTTCATCCAATAAGAACACCGCAATAAACCAATGAATAAAGAATCTGAGCCAAAAAACACATGTAGTATCAGCAGCTCGGAGGGAACTCGCATATAAAATGGACGGGGGTGTTCGTCGTACCTTTTAGGGGTTAAAAAAAGCGGTTTTCGTAGCTCTTAGGGTGCTCAGCCTCAAAAGGTCCACAGTGGGAGCTTTTGCGATACCTTTTTGGGTATTGAGCCGAAAAAATATGAACGGAGATACTTGAAAATCAACTGAATTTTAATTTTGTTTCAGAATTGGTACTTCTTAGGGATGAAAAAAATTTCAAACCACTCCCGCAAATCTTGGTACCTCTTATCGGTTCTTTTCAAAATTTCCAACGAGCACTGTACTCCTGTCCTGAGGGAGTACCCCTGAGATCAGCAGTCGGCAGAATCAGTGTTTGGCTGGGACCACTGACGGTGAACCAGGAACTCCTGCGGTGAACCGATCGAATAATGGGAAAGAGTTTGAACTGCTCGTATAGAAAAGTGCCAGTTTAACTTCTTTAACTCGAAAACTGAAAATTATTGCAGAAGTACATCTTGGTTCCACCTTGGGTGAATTGATGCTGATTGTTCTCGCTCTCTTGACAGATGGGATCTTTATAGGAGAATTCATGCTGACGTCATTGTTTACAATTTTGCTCATTTGCATACGGCTTTGCCTACAGAAGGAAACATGTTAGATATGAATTGACTCCAGGCAGCTAAAGAGCTAAAGAAACTTAACACATGGTGAAATGTTTAGCTCTTTGGGTGTAATATTCAAGGAGATATTGTCTTTCAAAAACTGCAAAATTTCTTGGTGGCAAAAGCGCTCATGAGCTCATACATTCTTTGTCAAATTTTTTGGTACAAAAAGTATTCAATACATCAGGCTCATATTCATTGGCAGACTTCATCGTACTATGACCTTTTAATATTGAGAACTGATTTACTTGTAGCTCCATCAGAAACTGAATTGCTTATGCTAATGAGGCAAATATTGTAAACAAGAATTCCCCCATATATACGGGTTGAACTTAGGCGGGAGAATAAATAACTTTAAATGAAGAATTCAATTTCGCAACCAATCCCACGGCTCAGATGCAAGAAAATTGTGGTTAAGTGCGCCTAAATGTATTTTTAATAAACACGTACTAAGACCAGGAACGCACTGGAATGGTTTGAAACACTCCTGATCAGAACTCTAGCGATAAGTAAGTACAAATATAGTTTTTCATTTTTCAATGAGGCGTGTAGCGTTGGATTGGTTATAATCGTCTCATATCAACAAGCGCGAGTAAAATAATGTTTTCAGCAGGAGCCATTTTCAGTCATTAAAAATACCCCCGAAATATAGAAAAATGAAATAAAATGAAAGTAAAAACGCCACATAAAACTACGCGAACGCTTTCCATATTTGTAAAGCATGGTATAAATAAACAATAGCCTCCATTTTGCGCGAAAATATGCTAGGATATTTGTCCGCGGACATTATCTGTTCCGAGAAGCGAACAGTTTTCCGAGAGCGTAGCTCGAGGAGAACTGTGAGCTTTGAGGAACAGATAATGTCCAAGGACAAATATCCGAGCATATTTTCTCCCCAAATGGAAGCTATTGTGTTTATTACTCTTCAAATCTTTTTCGCAACGCGCGAAGTTTTGAAAATTGGGGGATATTCTCGGATATTCCCCAGTTTTAGCTGGTGAATATTCGGTCAATATACCATGTTGTGCGCGGTACGAATCACGTTTGTGACCCTTTACAATAAAAAATGGCCAGGGGTTCTGTATACACTGCTTGTCAGTCGGACAGGTAGGAGGAGGTTTTTTTTAAATAGGCAGTTGTAACGGGTTTTAATGCCCGTTGCGGTTGCCGTTGTATAGAGGTTAAAATAAGAGAATCGAGTAAGGACCAAACAAAGTGGCCGTTGTAGCGAGGTTTGCCGTTGTTGAGAGGTGGCCGTTTATAGTGACGCTTCGACTGATAACATAATTAAATGCAAATTCCTAACCCTAAACCCTAACCCTAAGATTTTTTCCTTTTTCCACCCTACCCCTTTGCGTTTTCGCTAATTTAATCTTCCGGGGTTTTTGTTTCGCATGCGCGCTCTTGCCTCGTCCTCAGTCGTCTTTTCACTGTCTCATAAAGCGCGTGCGGAACGGGGCGAGGTGGGAGCGCAAGGTGAGATGGGTAAGGAGAAAGCGAGAGAGTTAGACGTCGTTTTCTCCCCTTCTTCCCTTCCCATCTCCCCTCACTCACCACGTGTATGAAGACGACTGGCGACGAGTAAGGTCAGTAAGTGCGCGCTCAACCATCTTGCGAGAAACCGACTACATATCTTATTAGATGTTTTGGTGTGTAGTATCGCTGTATATTTCTACGAGTTGTGCCGTATTTTGACGAGCCCTTAGGGTAAGTCAAAATACGAACAACGAGTGCAAATATAAAGCGATACATCACACCAAAACATCTAATAAGAGATTTATTATCCAACTGCTGTAGTCGATAAATTTATCAGTGAAAGGGGGAGAGTGTGACAGTTTTGCGTGCGCGCGCCGACCTGTACGGCAAACAGGTTTTCTACTGTACAAATAACTGTACAATATCGCTGTATATTTGTACTGTTATTTGGACGGTATTCACTGCAGCTGGATAATAAAAGTTATGAAGGGTTATACAAATTAAACTACCAAGGTTAAAATAATAATATTCCCACCGAAAAAAGTTATTTTTGGTTAATTTCAAACGAGTAACAATGGATAGAGCCTTTTGTAAGTTGTCAGTTAAATTTTCGGACATTTGTCAGTTGTCAGTTATTTTTTCGTCATTTGTCGGTTGTCAGTAAACTCCATCCAGACCTTCCTTTATAGAGTTTGCCCGTGGGAGATGCGAATGTACTGGTAATGTTGACTTCGAATTGATTGCAGTGTGGTTGTAACAACACTCGCGCGAGGTAATTTTCGCAAGCAATTGCGTGCCTGCAATTCGACAAATCCAGAGAAGGATAACTTGTTGTCCGAACTAGTAATGAACTAAAAGAAACTCCTTGTATAATGAATATTCTATTTCTTTGACCATCGTTGCTTTATAAGAAATAACACACAAACTGCAGTGACAGGCATGACAATAAAATGCATGTTGGAAAAAAAAAAAATTCATTTTACTTGACGTTTCGTATGTTTCGACATACATCTTTAGAAGTGACCGTTTAGAATAAAAGTAACAACTAAATTTTTTAAATTTAAGATAGGTACCTAATTAACAATAACAATGACAGAAGCTGAGAAACATTTGTATATTAAAAGATGCAAACTAATAAAGGTAATGCGTTTCGCTGCCAACATCTCATGTGGTTGCTAAGAGACAAAACGATCCGACTTTCAATCTTGTAAATGAAAAAATGCTGAAAAGTTATTAACAAAGCAGAGCTTTGAAATAGTTTTGCGCACGAAAATTTAGTTGACTGTTGTTGTTGTGAGACTGTTATGCAAATTTAAGTAAACCCTATTGTTGCGAAAACCGGTTCAGCTGTCAACACGCGGTTGCCATGAAAATGTTCTCATAAAGGGCCGCCTTACGAGTGAAGACTCTAACGCAAATTTAGCACAACCGTATTTGACTGCTCGTTTAATAATAATCCTACATCAAGATGGTAAGTAGAGTTCTTTGTTTAACGGTCATAGATAAGCCAAATGGTTGCGATATCGAAAATCGTGTCATTGTGCAATTTTTTTGTAGTGATCAGCCATAGTTGACTACGGAGCTGAACATTTCGCTTTCCATACAATGTGGAAAAGCCAATGCGTGTATACATAATCTTTCAAATCGCGCGTAGTTACCACTGTATGTAGTTTAAGTCGCTAATTTCAGGCTGTTAAACATCCTTTTATCTTCTTTACCCAAGCGTGAGTGTATTTCAGTCCACGTTGGCCAAGCCGGAGTTCAGATTGGNTAAACCCTATTGTTGCGAAAACCGGTTCAGCTGTCAACACGCGGTTGCCATGAAAATGTTCTCATAAAGGGCCGCCTTACGAGTGAAGACTCTAACGCAAATTTAGCACAACCGTATTTGACTGCTCGTTTAATAATAATCCTACATCAAGATGGTAAGTAGAGTTCTTTGTTTAACGGTCATAGATAAGCCAAATGGTTGCGACTTGGCTTGATTCTTCTCACTTCTCACTTAAGACAACAATCTATCCAGGGGCGTAGCTAGCCTTAAAGCCATTAAGCACGGGCTCAAGAAGAATTTCTATGAATAATCTTTTTAGTAGCCGAAAGGCCACATTTTCTTTTTCTTACTATTCAATAGCGAATCACCGCTATATCAATGTTTTATTTTGAAAAACAAAATAACGACTTACAATCTTGTAAATGAAAAAATGCTGAAAAGTTATTAACAAAGCAGAGCTTTGAAATGGTTTTGCGCACGAAAATTTAGTTGACTGTTGTTGTTGTTGTTGTTTTTGGACGTTGGCAAAATTTGATATACGACTTACGCTGTTCAATTTGGGCTTAAATGGAAGAAATACCTGGCTACGCCTCGGTTATCTGTTTTATTTCTCTCCAGATGGGTTTTAATGTTGTTTCACGCAAAATATTTTGCTACCGCTTGCCTCCCTCAGTTAAGAAAGTTATGCAAATTTAAGTAAACCCTATTGTTGCGAAAACCGGTTCAGCTGTCAACACGCGGTTGCCTTGAAAATGTTCTCATAAAGGGCCGCCTTACGAGTGAAGACTCTAACGCAAATTTAGCACAACCGTATTTGACTGCTCGTTTAATAATAATCCTACATCAAGATGGTAAGTAGAGTTCTTTGTTTAACGGTCATAGATAAGCCAAATGGTTGCGATATCGAAAATCGTGTCATTGTGCAATTTTTTTGTAGTGATCAGCCATAGTTGACTACGGAGCTGAACATTTCGCTTTCCATACAATGTGGAAAAGCCAATGCGTGTATACATAATCTTTCAAATCGCGCGTAGTTACCACTGTATGTAGTTTAAGTCGCTAATTTCAGGCTGTTAAACATCCTTTTATCTTCTTTACCCAAGCGTGAGTGTATTTCAGTCCACGTTGGCCAAGCCGGAGTTCAGATTGG